AATTTGGTATTGAACATAAATTTCCAGATCCTAGAACTCCACATCAAAATGGTGTTGTGGAGTGTAAAAATCATTTTTTAGCGGAGTTGGCAAGAACAATGCTTAATGATTATGGTCTACCAAAATATTTTTGGACTGATGCTATTAGCACGACATGTTAGGTCTTAAATAGGATACTTATTCGGCCTATACTTGATAAAACTCCTTATGAATTCTTAAAAGGTAGAAAACCAAATTTATTGCATCTTCACGTCTTTGGATGTAAATGTTTTGTTTTAAATAATGGAAAATATAATCTTGGGAAATTTGACGCGAAAGCCGATGAAGCTATCTTTCTTGGATACTCACAATCTAGTAAAGCATATAGAGTTTATAACAAAGATTACTTATTGTTGAATATTTGGTTCATGTTACTTTTTATGAGACTTTCCCAAATAGTGTTGGGAAATGTATTTCTTTTCATGGTGTAGGTGCATCTATGGAAGACATACTCAACGACACCAATAAAGGAGTTGATCAACCTAAAACGGTGGAAATTGAGAATAAGGAAGATGACAACTAAGAAAAGAAGGATGGTGAAAGTCAACAAGAAGATGACATTATTGGTGAACATCTCAAAAGGAGTAACAATACACTCTAAGATAAGTAATTTTTGTTATCACCACGCGTATGTGTCACAAGTTGAACCTAAAAATGCAAAATATGCCTTACTTGATGAGCATTGGATTATGGCCATGCAAGAATAATTGAATCAATTTGAAAGAAATAACATTTGGGACCTTGTCCCACGTCCACAAAATCATCAAGTGATAGGAACACGATGGGTATTTACGAATAAACCTGGTGAACATGGTGTGATAAAAAGGAATAAGGCCCGTCTTGTGGCTCAAGGATATAATCAAGAGGAAGGCATTGATTATGAGGAGACTTATGCTCTGGTTGCTCGACTTGAGGCTATACTTCTTTCATTAGCATATGCACGCTCTAAGAACTTCAAGTTATATCAAATGGACATTAAAAGTTCATTCATTAATGGATACATAAATGAAGAAGTGTATGTTTCACAACCTCCCGATTTTGAAAATTATGAGTTTCCTAATCATGTTTTTAAGCTAAACGTGTTTTGTATGGTCTTAAACAAGCCTCAAGGGCATGGTATGACCGACTTAGCAAGTTCTTTCTTGATCAAGAATACTCTAGTGGGAAGGTAGACACTACACTCTTTATTAAATATCAAAGAAAACATATTTTACTTGTTCAAATTTATGTTGATGTTATCATTTTTGGATCAACTAACATGCATCTTGTCAAGGAGTTCTCTAAGATTATGCAGGGAGAGTTTGAAATGAGTCTAATGGGAGAGTTGAACTACTTTCTCAGATTTCAAATTAGGCAACTTGGTGACGGAAATTTGTATGTCAAACCAACTATTGTCTCGAATTACTAAAAAGGTTTGGAATGGATGGTGCAAAGGAAATTGACACACCTATGGAAAAAAACGGAAATTTGGATAGAGATGAAAAGGGTAAGGATGTTGAAGTAAAAAATTATAGAGGTGTGATTAGATCTCTTCTATATCTTACTACATCTAGGCCCGATATTAAGCTTAGTGTTTGTATGTGTGCATGATATCAATCGGCTCCCAAGGAATCACACTTACAAACAGTTAAGAGTATTCTTAGATACCTTATTGGTACCTCTAAGTTTGGGCTTTGGTATTCCAAGGGAAATTATTATAGCTTGGTTGGTTACTCTAATTCCAATTTTGTCGGTTGCAAATCAGATAGAAAAGGTACCAGTGGAACTTATCACATGTTTTCAAAATCCTTGCTTAGTTGGCATAGAAAAAAGTAAGTTTTCATTGCTTTGTCAATGACCGAGGCGGAATACGTGATTGTTGTGCCCAAATCTTGTGGCTAAAGAAACAGTTACTTGATTTTAACATTAAACTTTCACATATTCTTATCATGCACGACAACACTAGAGCCATCAATCTAACTTAGAATCCAGTGCTACATTATCGCACTAAACATATTGAGATAGGTCATCATTTCCTCTGCGATCATGTTGAAAAATGGGATGTTGTATTAGAGCACGTTGATAGTAAAAATCAACTTGCGGATATTTTCACTAAACCTCTTGCAGCCGAACAGTTTTTCAACATACATGGAGAATTAGGAATCATTGACATCATCAATGTTGCTTAAATTTACTTAATTGATTGCACTATATATATTTTTACTCTAACCTTTTGTTTGAGTATTTTTATATCATGTGAGTGCAACTTCCGTTCCGCCAAGAGTGAGGTAATATCGTTTCAATTTCTCCTTGAAAGTAAGACTTTTCTTAATGCGTGATTGTCGGTTAAAAATGCTTGGTATGTTCTCAAATGATGAAAACCATGAATGTTCAATTCCAAAAGTTTTGATTGATAACCATTATGTGTTTTCAATGTATATGCCTATAATGACTTCATGCATTAATTATTTCACATTTGTATAACTTTGATCTTATTCAGCTAGCATGTATGTTTATTTAGCTTATTTCTTGCATTTGTGCTTGAGTTAATTATATGCATGTTATTTTCAAATATTAGTTTCATGTTGTATCGTGTCACATGTTATGTTAAACATCTTCATTTTGGTTTTAGTAGCGACATGTTCTTGTTTCTATTCTAGGGACATGCATGTGTGGCATCGAGAGTCCCATTATGACATGTTACGTAATTGTGACGTTATAAAAGCAACTTGAAAAGATTTCTCTTACATTGAATTATTTATTCACCATGCATTGCATTACATATGTTGTAATGTTGTTTGCTGGTTATTTATCAATTTTGCATCATTACATATATATGGGGATATGTGATTGTTGCTCTTATATGCAAAAATGCCTTTGAGTGATATATTACTATTTGTATTGGAACATGATACTTCCCACTATTTTCTATCTTTATTTTTGATATTGTCAAAAGGGTAGAAGCATATGCGAGATGAAGTGGGGTAGCACAAAGTCAGGGGGGGCTTCGATAACTACATGAAATTGATCGTTGCAAGTTTTTCCATCATAGAAAAGGGGGAGTATGTGAGTACAATTTCACCATTAGATGTTTTACTTGATGTTAAAATTAGGAAAACTTATCATTTATGTATATTGGATGGTATCTCTATGTCTTGTGGCACTTTTTGCATTAGGGGTCTTAGGAACCATTAAAAACTATTTTGAAATTGACTAAAGTCTTGAAAATAAGTTTTTGCATAAATTTTTATTGCATGTGTCGACACATATGTATTTCAGATCGACACATGTAACTCGGTTTTGAAGCATGTAGTCTCTGGAAGGCTTTGGTCAACACATGCATCATATAGGTCAACACATACTGAAACTTTTAATAAATTGCAGAAATTCTTATTTTATGTGTTGACACATACAAATTTTAGGTCGACACATATATTGCTTTTTAAAGCTAAAAGTTAATGTCTCCCTTCGGTCGACACATACATCCTTTCAGGTTGATACATACAGTAGAAAATTAACGTATGTGTCGACACATGCGATTTCAGATCAACACATACTATTTGATTGGGTCAATTTTTCAATTCTTTTTAGTTCCGAAAATCTACTTTTTGCATCTAAACTTCCACAACTATAAATACATCATTCAAACTTGATGATACCATAAAAATTTCCAGCAATTGCTCTTTACCTTCAACCTCCAACTTATGCATACACACTAACAAATCACAAATAATAATCTTTTATTGGGGTGACATCTAGAAGAGGTTTGATAACATCCAATGAGGTTCTTGTGTAGCTGAAAATATTGGGTTGAGATTTGTAGGGGTCTTCATTCAGAAAAATCGCGGGTTTGTCCTCCAAGATCATTGTTGATTTGGGGCTTTTCATGCAAAATATTAAAGAGAGGATTGAAGCCTAGTTAAAGCCTTTAGAGATAAAGAACACAAAGGACCCCTTGGAGATAAATAATTCAAAGGAAGTAGCGCGACGACAAAAGATAAAATTGAAGTCTTGTGTTACAATATATGCAATTGATGGTGCGCAGAAGCTTTAGAGATAAAGTACACAAAGGAGTAGCAAGATCCAAATAATCAATTGTTAGCTATTATGTCTTTGTCTTTCTCAAAATCAAAATAAGAGAAGGGGTTGAATTAACAACAAACGGTTACGGTTTATAAGGTTACTCTTGGAACCCTTCTCTAGTATCAACTTTTTGCATAGTAAGAATTATTCTAATTCCAAATTGGAATTGGACACAAATATAACCACACACGAGAATGAAAGTTGGGAACAATGTAGACAAATCCTCGTATACTTTTTCTTATCGTTTTTACTTGCTTTAATTTTCATCAATCAATTTGTCAAATAACATTGACTAATCGATCGAATTGTAAGATTTTTTTCCATGTCTGTTTTTGTTTTGAATTGTGTGTTGATTAGCTTATAATAACTTTTTATTATAAGTGGTTTTGTATCAACACAGCTCAAAAGGAAAATTCTAAAAAATCGGTTGCACGCCAAGTGTTAGACAAATTATTTTGTTTGTTCTTTTGATGATTGATATTGGATATAATATTGCTAGTAACTTTCTATAAACGATAAATAAAATTTTACTTGATTGAAGTATATAAATTCCATATTATTGTGTCCATTCCATACTTTGCTTTTATATTTTCATATCATACATCTAATAACTTGGTTCATATAGACGACACTTTTTGAAAACCTTCTGTGTGCACTCTTTTCTAATCAATTTTAAAACCAAAATTTTATTTGGATTTTTGGATTGGTGGTCTATTCACCCCCCTCTAGATAAGGCATTATCGTCTAACACCAAACATTTTTCTCCATAATATTCCACATTTTAACGAATTTGATATGGTTGTTGGTGGAAATGTGCTTGATGTCCCACTCATGCATGGGCCTATAAGAAACCATCCTCTCATTCAAAGAATGTTTCTAATGAAACCCAAGAAACCAATATGGGAGATCAAGATGTTAATAAAGATGTGTCGGACAACCGATCTGACATGTTGGAGATGGAGTCTCAAATTCATAAGGAGAATGATGATTTGACCCCTGAGAATGATGTTGAAAATGATGCTAAGAATATTGTTACCAATAACCCTGAAAACAATATTTCTAATTTTGTGAGTTATGATGATCATTTTCATGAATATATTTAGGTTGATACAATCGTAGCCCATGTTGATGTTGTTAATATTAATAAGAAGAATAGAAAATCTGCAACAAAAGGAAAGAAGGCTCATGCAGTAGAAGATATGGAGAAAGATGTTAATGACAACTTGAAAGGCATAGATGTGCCTATGAACAAGAAAAGTAATGATATTGTTACTAGAAATAAGGAACAACTTATATCACAAGACTATGCTTAAATCAAAGGAGTTGACTTTAATGAATCTTTTACTTTTATTGCTCATCTTGAAGCCATCGGAATGTTGCTAGATTTTTCTTGTCTTCTTATGTTCACACTTTACCAAATGGAAATGAAAAGTGTCTTCTTCAATAGTTACTTTGTAAAATTTAATCATGATGTTAGTAATGATGTCCCTGACATGGATGCTGTCATTGAGAAGGATGATCATGTGGAAGTATGTCAGGATGCTAGTACTGATGTGGACATAATTAAAAGTTTCATTGTGAAATACAATGGAATTCTTATGATAATTCTGATTTTTATTGATGACAATCTATTTCAAAGGATGTCAACTCAGATGATAGATCATCAAGTTCAAGAAAGTAAAACTAAACTCAAGATGAGCATGGTAGAAGAACTTACCTGTTTTTTTGGTTCTCATGTAAAGGAAATGAGGGAAGACATGTTTCTCGATTTAAGTAAGCTAGAAGTAGTTGTTGAAGATGTGAAAAACACAAGAAGGGGGGTTGAATTGTAAAACTTTAAATCAAATGCTAGACAACACTGTATTTTTATCCTGGTTCGTTTGATCTCAAACTACTCCAGTCCACCCGTCAAGGTGATTTCGCCTCTCTCCAACGAGGTCTTAATCCACTATATTCAAAGGATTACACAACTACTTTAACAATTGTTAAAGCCTTCTTGAGTATAACCACAAACCGGTTTATCTCAAGGAAATCTCTTTACAAATAATTGAACAATAATGTGTTTGAATGTTTTCTAATAAAACAGTATACCACAACTGTGATAATACACAAATTTAAGCTTAGAGTGAAACTGGATTGCTAATGCGTTTGAGTAGGAGTGATTTGAAAGCTTATCAATTTGTATGAGTGCTTGCGTATATAGTATTAAGCTTTTCTTTTCTCACACAGACTTGTTTTTATAGCCAAGGAAGAGATACGTTGATGTCCATAAATCACTTTCAATGATAATAACGTTCTTTCCTATTTGAGAAGATCTTGTCTTGAATAAAGCCGTTGGTAATTAATCTATCTTGAATGCATAGTAACGCTTCAGAGTGTTTTCTGCTTTAACTGATGCTGACGCTTCTGAATGCTGATGACTTGGTAAAGATCTTGATCAGAGTCAGAGTGTTTTATGCGCAGATTCTGGTCATCAGGCTTCAGCGTATGATCTGGTAGGTTCAGCGTGTAGCATATGTTATTGATCTTCTGGTGCTGATATGTTGCTGATCTTCTGATGCTGATTCCATCAGAACTTCTGTATACCTATATACACAAAGCATAATTTTAAGCAGTATATTTGTTCTATATAAATATATCTTTGAATTTATTTTATCCTTTGTATTTTGTTATCATCAAAACTCTAATTAAGGGTTGTAGAATCAAACTATGTTATAACAATCTCCCCCTTTTTGATGATGACAAAACCATATTTTTTCAATTAAGAATAAATAATAAAAGGTATCAGAGATTAAGAGTAAAGAATAAAAGGTATCAGAGTTAAAAATAAAGAATAAGAGGTATCAGAGTTAGGAAGAGAGAACTCCCCCTGAGTTGATTACTTCCCTTTAATTCCATGAGACCTTGAGCATCAGAACTTTACTGTACCAGAGTTCATCAGATTCATCAGAGTTTTGTACCTGTAAGCTTATCAGAAGATAAAATATTAAATGTATCAGAATGTTTGATACTTATGTATTAGTAATCCGTTATTGAAAAATATCATTCTTTCTCCCCCTTTTTGTCAGTTATCAAAAAGCACAAATAATCAGAGTTAAAATGATCAGAACTAAAAATGCATTTATATTAAAAAACATAAGCAATGTAAAGATCAGAACATTGTAAAAATATTACAGATAATCATGTTTAAAAAAATGAGAAAATTCTAAGAAGGAGGAGGGAGACGTGTGAACAGAGCTTCCATCATGCCCTTGATCTGATCATTGGTTTCCTTTTGCTGAGATACCATGCTGGCTATAGCATCAATCTTGTTGTCCTGCTTGTCCATCCTTTCCTTCATCAGAAGATCATTTCTTTTCAGATATTCTAGAGTCTGCCTGTCCAAGGAAGCTTGAGAATCTTTAGAAACATGATGCTTCTCAGAGCTTTCTGCAACATCTTCTTTCTGACTCAAGTCTTCAACAAGAATCATCTGCTCTTCAGTATCAGGTTGAACTTTGGAAGCTGGACGATGTTCAGACCAGGGAGCAATGTCCAGAGTGAGAACTTCTTCCTTAAGCACTTGGCTCAGAACTGGACCTTCAATCTCTTTCAGCAGATTGCTGAAGTTCTGTTGAGCTTGTCCGTAGCTCTGTTCCCGCAACTTATGAGTTTCAGAAGATACCCATCTTCTGAACCTTGTCCATAGGTAGTTTGATATAGCAGGATCAACCAGTTCCAGACTTGCTTGTTTCAAAGAAGTGATCCACTTCTGTAGTTCTGTTTCAAAGGTCAATATGCTGGTACCAACATCAGGATGTTTTGGCTTTGGGATAGCAGTTTTGTGGTTGATGGCAGCAAGACGTTCAAAAACTGTTAAGTCAATGACAATCTTGATGTTGTCTTCTGAATTGTCTTTTGGTGAGGGAGTGGGAGGGTCAGGAATTATGATTGGACTTGATGGGGAATTTGGTGGAGTTAATTCTGGTGATGAGGGAAGTTAGGGAATATTCACAAGTGTACCAAGGGGCAAAAGAATGGCCAAAGGTTGTGGTTCAGGGGATGCAGAGGGTTGAGCCTCAGAAGTTTGAACTTCTGGGTGAGGTGTTTCAGGTTGTGGAGAGGGTGGATTAATTTCTGGTTGAGGAGATGGAGGTGTTTCTGGTATTGGAGAAAGGGGAATTTCTGGTTGTGATGAGAGAGGGTTTTCTGGTTGTGACTCTGTGTTTGGATTTTCTGGAGTGGAAGCGGATGTGTGTTGGTCTATATCAGATAGAACTTTTGCAAGTTCTTGTTCTGGTATGGCTTCAGTATTTGGATTTTGTGGTTGGGAGCGAGATCTTCTGAGTGTTAATGACTCAGAAGGGTCAAAATCTTCAAAAGATTAAGGTGTTGGGTTTTCAGATGGAGTTGGAATGGGAATAGAAGTTGATACAACAGTTGAATCTAAAACAGTTACAGAGGAAGGGTTACCTCTCTTTTTCAGAGTCTGTTGGGATGATCCTTCTGTCACGGCTTTCCTCTTCTTTGTCTTCTTCAGAACTACCTCTGGAGCCTTCTGCTGAAGATCTTGAATATTCAGATTTGGTGTTGTACCATCAGCCTTGCAAGCATCCAGATATCTGAGTACGATAACAGGTTTAGAGTCAATTTCTGAGAATAGTGGGAAGTCATCCAGAGGGACTCTTCTGCTGGAGATTGCAGCAGCAGGAGTGACGCTGGGCAACTTCATTTTCTTCAGATTTTTGGCATTCAGCTGTTTGCCGACAGTAGCTTCCAAGGAGCTGATCTCCTGAGCCTCAGTCAGATGATCAATCAGCTTATTCTCTGTCAGGATATCTGATATCAGTCTTCCTAAGGGTATCCAATCCCTTTTTGTTCGCTCCTCTTCTCTTGTTTCTTTGACACTTGTCCTGAGATGGTTGAACAGAAGATGAGCCAGATTTATCTTGACCTTCTGAGAGATGAAATAGATCAGAAACTGCTGATCAATATTAATGTAATCAGGAGAGCTGGTAGGCTTCCTGTGGTTGAAGCACCCCAGAATGGTCTTGGCCCAAATTATGTGTTTGTCCTTTAAGTCCCTTATCTTGCTGGAGGGAAGCCCCAGAGTGAAGATTTCCCTTGCAATTAGGGCAACATCTGCACACCTTTCTGCCATATCAATGCAACGAACACCACCACCATTGTACCCTATTAAATGTGCAATGAGGTCTTCAGTGATAACAATCTTCTTCCCCATGATATAAGATGTAACTTGATGGTTTGAAGAAGAAGCGTGAATCCAAAATTCCTTAACCAGAATAGGGAAGGTTGGACCCACCAGACTATCAAAATACCTTTCCCAGCCTCGAGCTTTAACCTCTTCAGATAGATAAAACCCATTCTCTTGAAGACTTCTAAAATCCACGATTAGTTCTGACAGAACCTCTAGATTTTTGATTGGAGTGAGAAGAGTTTTGTAGGGCTCTTCATATTGTTCAGATGAAACAGTTTTTTGGGAACCTGAAGAAGGAATGCTGGAAGAAGCCATGTTCACACGAAGGTTTTTGTGAAAAAGATTGAAAGGCTTTTGTGAATGCACGTTGAAAACAACAAGTATGTAGAGAAAATGATAGTGAAAGTAAAAGAGTGTAACTGGTGCGAAGTGTGTTTAAATAGATTTCTAAAAAGTTTTGAAAACATAAACGGTAAGAGAGGGAAATTAATAATGATTATTAGCATTTAATGATAGATGATTTTAGGGGATTCATAAAGATATTTGGAACGGTTACCCATGACATGTGTCTCAATGCATCCAATCAGCGCTTTTGCCTTTTCAGAAACGTGAACGCGTGTTCATCCTCAGAATTTAGTAGATTACTGGATAACACTTGTTTGATTGAGTGAACAACACATTTCTATCCTTGAAATGAAGCGCTCAGATCTTCATGGATAGATTCTGATACAATCTGCACTTCTAAAGTTCTGAAAGAAGATTGATCAGTAGTTCACAGTAAAATAAACAAAGTTCTGAAGGTTAAGATATGGAATCAAAACAATTTTATTCTGGGCAGAGCTTCATGCCGAGATGTTTCAGAATGAAGTTGAACCTATCTTCAGAAAGAGGTTTTGTAAAAATATCAGCCCATTGATGGTCTGTGTTAATAAATTTAAAATTTAAAATCACTTTCTGAATATAGTCCCTAATAAAATGATGTTTTATTTCTATATGCTTAGCCCTAGAATGTAGAATTGGATTTTTACTGAGACAAATAGCAGAAGTATTGTCACAGAGGATAGGAATGTTACTCTCAAATATCTGGAAGTCCTCAAGTTGACTTTTCATCCAGAG